AAATATCTAAATGTATTTTACATTAATATAATTTAATAAAAAAATATTTTAATATATTTTTCACTTGTTAAAGATAAATTGGTCCTTTTTACATAATATTTTCACATAATTATTAATGATTTCAGACTTAAAAAATTAAAATTTAAAAATTTTTTATTAGAACGAATAGTCACGTGATTGGTCATTGGCCAATCATATTAATGTATAATTAGCCAATCACAGAAAAAGCCCGCTATGCTAGTCGATAGTATATCAGCACGAATTCAAGTGGTAATTATGGCAAAAGGTAGTCCAATTAAATACTAGTTTAATAATACAAAATATAGGTTTTGATAAGTTTAAAATAAAGTTTTAATAAAGTTTTTTTGGTTAAGTTTTAAAAATTAAGCATTTTATATTGCATAAAAATTCATTCAGAAATTTTGATACCCTCTGTATATTTATTTGAATGAATTGAGCAATGCAATTTTATTTATTTTAAAATATATCATTGTTAGGAGTATAAATTTGAATTTTAACAAATTTCTTTATTTTTTTTGAAGATATATTTTATCTTTGCAACAAATATAGCTTCATTATATATCTTTAATCTCTTCAATATGATTTTTCTATTTGAGAGTAGCCAATCTATGCAAGCGATGTCACTAAACCCTCCTTCATTATTAAAATATACATTTTCAAATTCTGAGTATTCATATAACTGAATATAATGATTTTTTATAGCACATTTGATCTATGATTCATTTGATTATTTAAACATTCTTTCAAAAAGAAAAAAAAAATTTTTTTTAATGCTGATGATGTAATGTACATGCAATGTGTGACAGATTATCTTCAGACTTGCGTCACATTATAATTTTGGAAATGATCAGTATATGTTAGTTATATGAAAGAATTGCAATATCTGCATCACAAATCTAAGATAAAAAAAAATTTATATAATTGAAAAAGGAAATAAAACAAAATATTAATAAATGTCTCTGAATTTTAATGACCAGTTTGAAAAGAAAAAATCTGAATATTCCAATTATGATTATTTGGACTTCAAAAATATAGTCACAATAGGATAAGATTCATTTGTTAACTTTTAACATGCTTGTTGAAAAAATTCTGATGCTTGTTTTATTATCAAATCTTTTAGTAATGAAATAATAACTCTGAAAGATGCTGAAAATAAAGTACAAATATTATTGATTTTTATAAAAATGTTTATCTAAATTTATAAAAATTAAAAAATTACATAACAAACTTGATTTTTATTATATCTTAAGAGTTTATGGTATTACAAAAGAAGACCTCGTGAATATTTAAATATATAATATAAAATTTATAATAAAATATTAATTCTTTAACTACTTTTACTATAGACACAATTCATTAAATGAATAGATATGCATGTATTTTGGAAAATTCTGATAGTGGTTTATTAAATGCTTATCTAAAAGAACTTTTTAACAAATTTGATTGGAATGACAAATATTCATTAGTATTACAATTGGCAAGTACTACTGAATATTTACATGATAAAAATATTGTTTATCATAATCTAGTAATATCAAATTTTTTTGATTTTTTAATTATCTAAACAAAATTCTAATTATAATTTTTTTAAATATACCTTAAGTATTCACAAAATATACTTATCAATCAGAAAAGTATAAAATTAGTGAATTTTAGATTATCAAAAAGGATTGTTGAAGCTTTAAGTAATGCATCAAACTTATTGAATATAATATCTTACAGGGATCTAAAATCTTTAGAAGATTTGAAATATCAATTAAATGAAAGATCTGATATCTATAGTATTGGCATTTTATTTTGAGAACTTTCAAGTGAGTGCTGACTATTTATGCTAGAGATACTTTTAATGACATCAGATTGGCCATTGCTATAATAGGTGAATAAAAAAGAAAATAATTGATAGTATTCCTATTAAATATAGCGACTTATATACTAGTAAAGATATTATTCATTTTATTTTATTTTATTTTATTTTTTTTGAAAAGAATAATATTGATTGTATTTGTTAATATTATTAAAATGTTAGAAATACGAGCTGGATGAATGATCAAATATAAAAGAATTAATATCAGTTTTATCAACTTTATCAACTTTTAATTTTGAATACAGTGATATGATGAATATTGTTTATTTAAATAATATTAGTAATACAATCATTGATGAGTTAATTAAGATCATAGTTAAAAAATATGATGAATGTATTAAATCTGATCTGATTAAACAATTTATTGTTCATCAATTATTGCAAATAAATCAATTTACAGATAAATTCATAGAATAATTATCACAAAATCAAAGTGAATCAAAATATATTTGGCTATATAGATTGTTTTATTTTTATTATTATAAAATTGGTATATACGAAAATTATGATAGAGTATTTAATTTATTTTTGAACGCATCAAATAATGACTATTCTTTAGTTATTATAATGGATATGATATAGAACAGAATAATTATTTAACATTTGAATATTATAAAAAATTTGCGAAAAATGGAAGTATTATTGGTTAATTTTACTTAGACTATTGTTATTATAAAGATATAAGAACTAATATTGATAAAATGGAAGCATTAAAGTTTTACGAAAATGCAGCTAAGAATGGAAATCATGTTGTATAATGTAATTTTAGAAATATATATAAGAATGGTAAAGATACCAAAAAGGATTTAACAAAAGCTACTTACTGTATAAAAAAGCAGTAAAAAAATAATAATGATACAATTTTTCGACTTGGCTATTGTTATGATAAAGGAATTAGAATCAAAATTGATAAAACAAAAGCTTTAGAACTATATAGAATAGTAGTCAAAAATGGAAATCATGCTGCACAAAATAATATTGACACTTTATACAAAAATGGTGAAACACTAAAAAAGATTTAAAAAAAGCCTTTGACTGGTATCAGAAAGCTGCTCAAAATGGATATGAAGTTTCACAATTCAATTTAGAAAGATGTAAATATGGTAGAGTCAGAAAAATTAATGAAACTGCACATCAATAACTTAAAAATTACTTTACAAATAAAGTTAAATCAGAAATTACAAATGATTCTTTTAAGGAAGTTAATATTTTTAGAGAAAATCAATTTATATATGAATGTCAAATCTCTAGTAATACTAAATCTGCATTAATACTTATGAATAATATTACTATAAAATTGCAATTAAAAGATTACAAATTGATAAATTTCATTTATTAATATTACAATAAAAGGTTAAGTAAAAGATATCAAAATAAAAGTCTCATGCGTCATTTTAATGGTAATACTTATTTAATTTTTTCCTTTTTTTTATTTCAGGTAAATGAATGGAATGATATATATAAACATTCCAATATTTTTGACTTTTTGAGAATTCATATTAAAGGTATTATTGATTTTAGAATTTTTATTAGTTTATAAATTAATATTTTATAAAGATTCTTGATTATTTTAGATGAAAACAAATTCTTCTCTATAATGCCATTTGCTAATAATGGTGATTTAAGAAATTATTTAAAGGAAAATAATATATTGACAAACAAAAAAATAGAAATAGCAATAAATATAGCAGATGGAATTATGATTTTGCATGAAAATAATATTATTTATGAAAATTTAATAAGTATTATAATTGATTATGATTGATTATTTTTAATAGAAGAATCTATAAATAATTATTTTAAATGAATTATAGAATCCAACAAATATTTTTATATTTGATGGAGTAGCAAAATTTTCAGATTACATTTGTCATATATTAAAAAAAATAAGGATTTCTATCTGGATGAAAATATTTTTAATAATCTTGGATATATCGACCCAGATCTTTATTTAATGAAGAATTTGAAAAGAATAAATCAATGGATATATATAGTTTTGGAAGTTTGTTGTGGGAAATCATGAGTGGTAAAGTTCCATATTTAAAGGAAAAAGATAAAAGTATTAAACAAATTATGATTAATATTAAACTTGGTCTTAGAGAATACAGAATGATTGGTGCTCCTGATAAATATGTTGAACTTTATGAGAGTTGTTGGAATAAAAATAGTTCAATTAATGAGGTTTCCATTCGTCTTCAGAGATATTAAAGAAAAATTAGATCCTTTTTAAAATTCTGGTAATAAATCTTTTTAATTTTGCATTGATCTTTTATTTATTTCAAAACTAATTTTTATAAAAATTAGTGGTGAAATTAAATTACGAAAGCTCAGAATTTTCTGAACCTTCTTTTAACACTTCATCGGTAATTATAGTCAAGGTAACAATAAATTTTCATTGATTTTTTTTATATACTTCAAATTTAAATGAAAGTTTTTGCAAAGAAATTAGATGAAGTTGCAGATATTATTGAACCTGAAGTTAGCACAGCGAGAAAATTAACTGCGGCAATCGGAGAAATAACTATAGTAAAAGTTCCATTCGTAAAATTTGTTCCTTTAACTTCCGAAATTGGAAATGTGCTTAACGAAATCGTTGAAATCATACAAGCTGCCGAACACTATAAACGAACTTGCAAAGCATTATTACAACGAGTTCATGCGGTAGAATCAGCCTTATTTGATCTTAAAATTCAAAGAGATGATAATAAAGAGTTCTTCATTAGTAGGAATTATTTGTATTTACAAAATTTGGTTAACGTAATAGTAAATATTAAAACTTTGATGAAACATCTCAAGGCAAAAAGTGTTGAGAAAACTTTTAGTGAATTATGTAGAGAATTTGATAGTTGGATAAATTTATTGAGTTTTACCATATTAATTAAAGAAAAAATTCGCGTTGAGGACGAAGCTGAACAATTAAAATCTGATCAAGATGATTTAAATAAAGTAAGATAAAAACTTCCGCTTTACAGAATTCGATTTAACGTGTCATTAATTATTACATTTAATAATTTTAGTATATGTTAGAAATGGGAGTTAACGTCAAAGAAATTGGAACTGATAAAGAAGAGATTTCTCTAATGGTTTTAAAAATCAATGCAATGAATAATAAGATGGAAAAACTACTGGACGAACAAAATAAAAGTGCAGTACGAAAGGAAACCAATTAATATTATCAAAATAAACTTGATAAAATTTTCACAGAAAGTAATAAATTAGAATTCACAGATTATAAAGAAACCAATGAACAGCGGAATGATGGTCGTATTACTAGATACCTTGATATTAAAAATGAGGCTCGAGAATTTGCATTTAAGAACATCTCTGATGTAGAAGATAAACATAGCATACGGAATCAAGTTACAATCTTTAAATAATTTCAAGATTGGCAGAACATCATAAAATTTTATGGATTTGAAAACAAAACATATTTGGTAACAGAATGGGCCGAATTTGGAAATTTACACGAATTTTATACTGAACATAAAAGACGATTTAATGAAACTTTAAAATTACGTATATCTCTCGATATTGCTCGTGGATTAAATTTTCTAAGATCTGTACGGGTAAGCATTAGTTTTTAATTAATTAAATCTTTCTTAATTTGTTTAATTTATTTTTGAAAGAAATTTCACATTTTTTTTAGAATGTACACTCCCCGGTCAAAAGTATTGGACCACGTGATTTTCGTTATACTAATTGGCATAATTTTTGCCGATTATAACTTGTGATCTAATGCATAAAAT